GAGAGAGAGAGAGAGAGAGAGAGAGAGAGAGAGAGAGAAAGCAGACGTCCTCGGGGGGCCTCACGTCGTTGCACCAGTACACGGCCGCGCCGTACGAGCAGCTCACGCGCCCGCACGAGCCGGCGTCGTTCCAGGCCGACCCGTAGTGGTTGCGCAGGTACGCCACCGCGTCAGCCACGGGCCCGGGTTGCGCGTAGTTGGCGTCGGGGCTGCAGCACTTGGTCTCTGGCGCCCCGCTCACCCTCAGCGAGCGACGGCGGCGGCGGCGGTGGTGGTGATGGTGTCTCTCGTGCTGCCGGGCCGCGTTTGCGCCGCCGCCGGGCGTCGTCGGCTCCGTCGGCCAGCCGACCTGGCCACCGGGGGCATTCTGGTCCGGCGGGTACGCGCCGAGGGCGCTGCTTGCTTGCCCCTGTGAGTGCGTGCGGCGGTCTGGGGGTCAGTCTTCCTGGCCTGGTGCCCCACCCGGAGAGAATGGTCCGCATGGGCGACTGTTGGGGTGGAAGATGAAGAAAACGCACAGTAGCGACCGCTAGGGCGAGCAGAAAGCAGGCCTTCGTGAGAAAGGACATGGCGACCATGGGCGGGATCCCCCCCAAGGATAGCGAGTTGATGTGGACGTCGTGGCAAGCGCGGGCCGACACTGGAGAAGGAGCAAGGAGAGCTAGGTAGGCAGGTAGGTGGCTGTTATCAGCCCGATCGGATGATACAACAGCCAACGTTTCGGGGGGTTCGATAGATAGGACTGGCGATCGATGACGGGCGCTAGATTATCTGGCGATCTTGGGGTTCGCGATCGGGATGGGGAAAAAAAGGGGCGACGCGTGAGCCCATAGCAACATACCGGTGTCTTCATCATAATCGTACCATCAAGAGCCTGGCCCAAGGGGATGGAAGGAGCGGGCCTGTCTATATAGGCATCCAACCAACGCCCGTACGCAGCCTATGTAAGAACTTGGGTAGCCTCACTCCATAGGGTTTTCTGCTCGGGAATGCATAGCCCAGGGCACCTGCTCGGCCTTGGCTGCCAACATCACCAACCCAGGCAACACAGACAAGACGACAGTCGCACCAAATGCCAACAAGCACTATGATCTCGCATCAGCGGTACTGAATAGTTGACTAATATAAAATTGGTAGTTCCGGTGAGTGAAACCCACCGAGCACATTATTTCCTTGCCCCATGACATATGTCAGCCCCCCATACATCGGCATTCCCGTATCGTCGAGGCCGCGAGCATCAAGTGATCAACTATAGCATGGGTTGGGGAGGATTTCTCAATGGATATTTATTGAACACTTGGCCAAGTCAACTTTTGCTCGACCACCATCCTTCAACCCTTCAGTCGCCACACGCTAACTTACTTACCATCCTACGACTGTCTCTCAAGGTCGTCCCCGACCATGGTCGTCACTCGCCTCCGGGTAGGAATAGACGTAGCCCCCGTCGGAGCGCCGCTCGTGCTGTTCGCCGGTCGCACTGGCTGAGCTGAGCCCGCGCCATGCCGAGGTTCACGGATCCCTCCTGGCGAGTCCCGATTTCTCAGAGCTACAAAGTAGAGGTAGAGCATGAAGCAGATGGATGCAAGGCTCACAATCTCGCCCGCAGCTAAGTCAAAGCGGATAGGTATTTGACATTAACATCGAATATTCATGCAAGGGACCAATGCGGATAGCAAAAGACGAAAGCCCGCATGATGTGGGAGAGGAAGCGGTAAGGGGCGACTTACTAATACGTACTGCGAGCCAGTCGGCCGCGTAGGACACGCTCCCGGCCCCCCCATCCCGTGGGAAGCTGCTGATAGGGAGGGCGAAAAGACTCGTCATGAATGCGAGGGGCGCCTATCAATCAACGCGGTTAGATTGAATCGTCATGAACCATCGGCCGGGGTGCCTATTGACCGGGGAGACGCACGAAGATGACGGTGATTGTTGTGAACACCAAGATGTAGTCGTTGAGAGTTTGGGCTCTCTTGCTCATCACGGTGGCAGTGATGGCTTCATGCAATGAGCTCTGTGCCTGCTTTACCTGGACCAGGTAGTACAACTGTTTGAGGAAGCTCATCTGTCAGCTTCAGAAACCTCAAAAGTGACGTCGGAGTGGGCTCACGTCCTGGAGAGTCTGGTGTGCATTGCCATCCATCCTGACGGTGCGTGCTCTCAGGTTTTGGATACCACAGTAGTCTGTAAACTGCTGGCGCATCTTCTCGTCCTTTTCTGCATCGGGCCAGAACAGCCGAGCGAACCTTTCCACCATGTTAGCCTGATCCTCGAGTACGCGGCCTAGCATCTGCAGCTCGTCATGGATGTCCTTAATCTCGCGGATCAACTTGGTCTCCTCGGTTATGGATTCTTTCTCGTTGCTGTGCTCCTCCACGGCCGTTGCCGGAGATTTGGAGTTGTTTCCGGGCTCATTTCCCAGCTGAGCGATAAACCTTTTGAAGCACTGGACCTCTTGGTTGGACTGTAACGGGGGGGCGTTGTGTCAGCTTTTGCATGCCGACCCACCATGGGCGCGGTGGGCTTACCTTGGTAGCGATCGAGTTCTCAAAGATATCCAGTATATGTTCTCCCAGACCAGCATACCGATACTCCTCGATGAAGCGGGCACACTCGGAAACTATGTGCTCGATCAGGTCTTCTGGCTCCTGAAAATCGCCGATACCGCTCTGCCGAATCGTTTCGACAAGCGTGTCCTCGTTGCCGGTATGCCATCTCTCAGGATGAGTAGTTATCACCGTGTCTGCACAGAGCCAGTGTCAGTGTTGTGGGTGAGAGAACATGCAGCCCATGTACTGTCCTGTGGGAGGTTACCGACTTTCGTCGAGTTTCCAGAGCCACAACTGGTGTACCACTAGCAGCTTATTTCTGTCCGTCTGGTGGCTGAAGCTGCTATGAGGTGATGAGCCATCGCTGGCCTCTGCCGGCACCCTTCCATTGAGATCCCGTCTGTCTTGACCCTCGGTGTCCTGTGGCTGTGTTTTTGTTGTACCCAGCCCGTTAACAGCGATATCAGAAGACCATTTGTAGATTATCTGGTCTCTATTGCGGGCGTGTAGCTGATCGTCAGCTAGCATGTGGTAGTATGACTCGTCCAAAGTTTGAGGCAGCTGGAGGCCCCGGGGACCCTCGAAGGGGCGGTAGTGCTGCTTGAGTGCTGTCAATCTATTGAACTGTCGGTCTCCGCTCCCTGCCCCATCAGGATCGCCCGGGGTGAGTGACGTTCTCGAAGTTGAGCCTTTGCCGAGGTAGAGCTCTGTTTCAAAGTCAAAGTACGGGATCACTAGAGAAAGGCGGCGGCGGCCCCCGGGCGTCACTTTCCGGCTGCGCCAAGCCTCGTTGGGTAGCTCTGAGCGGGCGCGGGACTTGTTGTGTGATACATATGTTTCGGGTCCTTTTGGGGCCTCGGAAGTCCTCGGTGGCGATGACAGCGAAATCTGTACCGGGGGAAAGTAACCCGGGTTGGAGCTGTGCTGATTCGTTCCTGGGCTATTGATGGAATGTGAACTGGATGTGATGCGCGGACTGACGGGAGGGCTATCTGCCATGTCGTCGTCGTCGGCCACCCAAATATCGTCATCCTGGCGCTCCTCCTCGACGTGGGGCAGACGGAAGTAGCCCCTGTTATCTTTGTGATCCTTGACATGGCGATCGATAAACTGCAGTGCCTGCCTGAGGCGTGCCGAGCCTTGGTCCGAGAGTGTGAGGCGATAGACGAGGTCCTTGACCCAGTCCATGTTGTTTGCGGGAAGGTGAATCCACTTCCAGATATCGTCGCTGCGCACCTCAAAAGCAGCATCCCGAGATGTGTCTGTATCTTGGGTGTAGCTGCTGGGACGAAGGTGTGTCTTGTCGGTATTTGTTTTGGCCTTCTGTCTTGCTGCGTTGGAACTGCTCTGGATGATATCGATGAACTGCCTCTCGAACCCGGCTATGGTCTCCTTGTCATAGATAACGCTATAGGCAGTAGAAGTCTGGGACCATGAGAGGCTTGCAGGGCGGTAGAAGAACCACACTGTAACATAAAAGGACTTGCATACCGCCTGCCTGTCGCCCTCGCATCGCGGTGCCTCGGTGGGAATCTTGGTCAGGTTGCGCGGTGTCCATTTTGTCCGCGGCTCGAGAAAGATGCGTTTCGCAGCGGATCTCTCAGGAAGGAGGGCTTGCGGCGTTTCACCGGCAGCGTTGACGCTGTCCGGGTCGGCGCCGTGGCTTAGGAGCAGACGTATCAGCGTCTCGCTATCACGACTCGCGGCGTCGTGTAGAGGCGTGTCGTTGGAGGAGTTCTTTGTGTTGACCTCGGCGTTGCCATAGTTGACGAGGGAGTTGAACACCCTCCTATGATCAGCCCCGGGCTGGCAATACTTGATGAATGCGTGCAGCGGCGTTAGACGCTGCTGGTCAAGGATGTCGGGGTTGGCGCCGGCGTCGATCAGCTCGACCAGTATCGTGTTGCGCGTCGCGAGGATGGCGGCCTCATGCAATGCCGTGCGGCCGGCATTATCTTTCTGGTTGATGTGACGTGCCACGTCGGGGCGGCCAAGAAGCTTCCGGAGCACCTCGACCATGGATTCCGAAGCGGCCGCCATGTGCAGCACGGTACACCCCTGGGGACCATACTTGTTCTGTAGCTGGACACCCTTCTTCTGCGCCAGTTTGCGCGCTTCGCTGAGGTTGTTGTTGCTGATGTGCTGGAACAGGGTCTCGGTCAGGGGTCTATCATTGATGATGCTGGGCTTGTTGGGGGAGGGTCTGCTGCCTTCGCCCTTGTATTCGGACAATGGCCGAGCAGGTCTGAAACTAAGCTTGCGAATCTTCGACGCAGCGACAGGCGCTGCGTCTCCCAGCGTATCCGCCCCCTCCCCGGACATTTTGGCGGGCGGTATGCAACGAGGAGGCGGCCGTGAGATCGTTTTTTCTTGTCATTTTGCATTCCCACAGATCCTGGGGGTTCTCTGGTCATATTTGTAGCTGCTCAAGGCGTCGGCGTTGAGGTAAGGCTGTGGTGGATGTGGCGGCTGTGATGGATGCGAGATTTCTGCAGCCAAGGCGACGGGAATACCTAGGTGTGGCTGCACGTCATGGCTCCATGAGATAAGCACCACCTACATCCATCCCGAGCTGCCCGTAGGTTGCAACTTCCTCTTCCGGGCCATCCCATCGAACCCCCTCCTATGTGAGCGCATGGCTGCGCTTACGTTATATTCATGAAGAGACCTGCAACTAGGTTCCTGTGTACCCTACCTAGGTCTAAGACAGCAACGCCAGGATCGAGGTCAGGCTGTGGCCGACGATGACATCCATACTTTACCCACCGACTTCTAGTCTACCTACTAGGTAGGTAGATGACTGGCATAGCCCCAGCGCCCTCCTGCAAAGGTGCGGCCACTTTCTCAGCCCCATTCCCAATTCGGGGCGACGATCCAAACCCTTCCGAAGCATCCGCAGCCAGCACTAGTAAGGCTGGGCCCGCGCCCTGTCTAGCACCAAGCAAACGGATGCAAGGCCGACAACGTCACCCACGGCTATATCAGCGCCTCCAAGCCATGGTATTGGGGCAAGCTGTGGCGGGGATCCCGAATGGGACTGGAACCTTCGGTGCTCTGCGTGTTTATGACAAAATGGTGGTTTGCAACTCTTTACCTGTCGCACTCTGGTAGGAAGCATATTCAGGAAAACACAACACTTCTGCCTCCTTCAATGGCAGATCAGTACGCGCACGCCGGCCGGATCCAACGAGAATAACAACCCATAGCTCGATGTCTGGTGTGTTGAGGGAGGACCGCGAATATAACCCCGCCAATTCTCAGGGGAACATGGAAAGGCCCAAAGGTTATCGAAATAGGTGTCGGCGAAACTCGATTGGATCCCCTTCATGCAACCAAGAAGCGAAATGCTACTGGCATAAGCCACGATTTAAGCAGGAGCACTGGGAGGTCAAACTGTAGATGTGCCACCAAAAGGCTTCTAGGCATACTCTATCTACCAACTGCTAGCTTGGATTATTAGCACAACCTGGGCGCCCTCCTGCGGAGGTGCTGCCACTTCCTTGGCCACTTTTCCCAATTCGGGGCAACCATTTAGGCCCTTCCGAAGCCCCCCACAACTGGCAACATCACGATCGGAGAATCCTCACACCAAGCTCCAGGCTCTCAATCTCCCTCGCGAGCGCCTGCCGGCGGCGCGTCGTCTCGGGCGCCTCGCCCGCGACGGCGGCCAGCTTCTCGTCCTCGAGCCCCATGATGAGGTCGGGGCTGAAGATGCGCAGCGGGCTGTCGGGCGCCTGCAGCAGGTGGTGGTAGACGACGTGGAGGCAGACGACGTCGACGAGGCGCTTGCGGGCCACCTTGTAGTAGCTGATGAGGGTGTCGAGTATGTCCTCGCGCACCTGCTGCGCGTTCTCCTTGTCGGTGGCGCAGTGCTTCATGGCGTCGAGCTTGACGACGCTGGAGCCGTCGTCGGTCCGGAAGCAGAGCTTCTTGAAGGTCTCGAGCAGGCGCTCGCCGCGGCTGCTCTGCTGGGTCGCGTTGAAGTAGTGGTTCACCGTCATGGGGTGGCTGAACCGCTCCACGTTGAGCAGGAACATGGCGTGGTCCATGGCGCGCTTGTAAGACTCGATGAGCCGGTCGACAAGGAGCTGCTGGTACAGCTGCTCCCTGGTGTCTGTGTCGGGGCAGAGAGTGCGGAGCAGACGGGCGATAAAGTCGTGTACTATAACGATGGCCTTGCTGGCATACGCGAGAGTGAGGGGCTCCCAGTTCTCGGACTGCTTGCGGAACACGGTGGTGAAAACGCCGCCGCCAAACTGAAAGAGGTCAGTGTTGAGCTGGGACAAACCACTCGAGACAAATCAAGAGGACACTGAAAGACTCACAGTTCCAAGCTCCGGCCCTCGGCTGGTATCGTATACCTGCTCGATCACCTTCATAATGCCCGATTCCGTTGGAATGGGGCAGCGGAAAGTGATCGAGTCGCAAACAGTGTCCAGGGGAAGGAACTCATGCGAGTGCTTCTCGTATGTCTTGACGCACTCCTCGAATACCACGCTTGCCCGTGCGATTTCCTCTTTTTTGATTCCCTCATCCTGCGTCTCGATGCGAGCTTGACCAGACTCGAATTCACAATCGGACTCATAATCTTCGCGTGTTGCGGCTGGCTTGTCAAATCGGTATTTGTGACCGTGAGCAGCAAACAAGTTGGAGTACGACTCGTTCAGCTTGATAATCTTGGTGATGAGCTTGAGTTCCTCGTTGTCGGTGAAGGCCCGATCGGATTCATAGTGCCCGCCCACCGCAGACTGCGCCAGCCCCTGGAATTTGGTAGCCAGGCTGCCCAAGAACTGGCGTTGGGCGATGGCGTCGACGCGGGAGGGGCCCATGGATTCAAGCTCAGCCCGGCGATGACGCAGCTTGGCCTCTATCTCGCTCTTGACCTTGGGAAACTCCGTCTTGGAGATTTGCATGAGAAGATCCCCAAGCCGGATCTTGAGCGCCGGGACGCCGCAGTGGTCGGCGACCGACGACCACGGCGACGACATGAAGAAGCCCTTTTCGGCGGCCAGCCGGTCTTGGAGCGTGGATTCCTCATCGTCCGCACCGCGGTTCTTGACGACATGGTATCCTAGCTTCAGCGGGTTGCGCATCCCCGAGAGGAGATCCATGACGGCCTTCTGGGTCGCCTTTTCCATGGCGAGGTCTGGCTTGGTCATCACCCCCATGGTTCTGATACCCTCGGGGTCAGCGGCCTCTGCCATCTTGAGAATCTCCTGCGTGTTGATGTCCACATTGCAAGGAATCACGGCCAAGATGCTAAACAGAGCTTATTAGAATATGTGGCTGCAAAAAGAAGAAAATCCAGGGGCTGCAGAAAACGTAAACTCACATGGTTCGGCGGTTGGCCATGTATCGCTCGATCATGTTCCGAACTATGGAAATGTCGTTCTTGGTCGTGAGGCCTACTCACGTGTCAGTACAGACGCGCCCCCTCAGAGGTGCTGTGATAGTAACTAACCAGGAGTGTGGACGCGGAAGATTCCCGGAACGTCAATCACCGTGAGGTGGTTTTGCTACCCGAAGTTAGCACGACAAAGTGAGAGCGAGCTCGCCGTCACAGCTCTATTGGAATGAACTCACCTCCGGACCATTGATCTCGATCTTGAGGATATCCTCACTGAACGCGTCACCACCACCACCCAATGCGGTCGGATCCATCTCCATTCGGATTCCCATAACTTCGTTCGCCTAAAGGGGACCGATAAAGAAAATCAGCGAACCGGCCTCACGTTCTGGAGTCATACGCAAGCAGGCCATGGGGAAGCGGAGGAGATGGTGATTTGGATAGACTTACATCTTGAAAAATGCCGGCGAGCTCGTCGTTGTCGATCTCTGTCATGTGCCGACGGAATTTGAGGAGCTTGGCTTTAAGGTCATCGCCGGCATCGGGCCGGGGAATGATGGAGATCACAACGCTCTTCTGGGGATCACGACAGCAGCTAATTTGCGTTGCATAGCGGGTACAGAGCCCGGCGGCTCGGGGGAAGCAGAATCCCGTCAAGCTCTCAAGGACAGAACTTTTGCCGGACGATTGGTCACCAACAACCACGAGCTATTTCAGAGTCAGCGGGATCGGGCGTCGGGATCGGGCATCGAGGGGCAAGGAACATTTATGTACCTGAGGGAGCGAGATGAATGTTGCGACGCCTGCCTCCCTGAGCTTGTCGATGGTGACCAGGAGCTTCTGGCTCAGGAGAGCCCCTTGAGTGTTGTTGCCGTTAACAGTCATCTTGGGGGGACGATGCCTTGGTGCGTGTGGTGGGGTCTTGACAGCTAGAGGAGATGTTTTGATAGTGGGAGGTGATGTTTTGATAGGGGGAGGTTGTGTTTCGGGAATGGAAGGCGATGTCTTGGGAGCGGGAGGTGATTTCTTGACAGATCGAGGGCGGAAGATGGTGGAAAAGATGTCCAATGACTGTTCAGACGACTGTTTAGATGCCGATTCCCTTTGGCTCGAGAAGAGGCGCCTTGGGTTGAACATCTCTTTGGCTTTGACGATGAGATCTGGACCTGTATTTATGCCCGTCCTCTTACCGTATCCCCCTTCCCAACAACACCTCCGGCCTCAGGACGCTGTTAAATGCCTGGCCGAGCAAACGGCCGCAGATTAGGCGCCAGGGAGGCGCACTTGAATCTGCGACGCTCCGGTACAACAGCAAAGGAGGGCATCTGGACACATACGAGTCTGGTGGCTGTGCATTGAAAAACTGCGGGCTGCCGATGAGCAAACACTGAATGCTATCGAAGAATGAGAGGGCTTCCTCCCGTCTCGGACGTCGGAGGCCCACCAGTCAAACAAAAACGCCTAAAAACAGGCGTAAGAGGCACACCGGCCAATGAGCTGCTATCCAACGGCTAGTTTGCTAAGCCGGGGGGTGGTCTGTTGGCATGAGATGAAACTCAATATCACGGAGATGAGGACCAATGCAGACATGTTGGCCATTTTCTGCGGCCTCTGGGATCGAAGCAGCAGTATGGGCTTACTTGGGCCTGGCACAGCCTCATCTTGATCCGGATCTGGAGAATGCCCAGCCGGCTGGGGACCCCGCATTTCCCATGACCGTTTTTGCATGCTGTGAGGGCCAAAAGGGACGGGCTAAAAGGGGCGAGGTAGCGTGGGACACGGCATGGCCTTGTGCGCTGGTGTCGTCTGGTGTCGCTCCCGTCTGTCGGATGGGTGCACCCGCCGTCATTTGATCAAGGGATTAGTGTCGCGCCCCTGGAGCGATCACTCAGTGCCCCAGATCAGCAGACGACAAAGATCTGTCTTTGGAAGATTGGTTGCGAGGATCGATATGAGGTCAAGAGCGAGGCTAGCAGGAGCTACGGGAGCTGTAGGAGATTGGTCACAAGGGCCAGCCCGGCGGCGACGACGCAGGCCGCCAATTAGCGTCTCTGGCTGGTCCCGCGACGGCGGGCAGTGACGGAATGCTCTGTAAGCACTGGAGCCCTTCTGGTTGGGAAGGATGAGGGACCCCTGCTGACCCTCCCAAAGTGCAGGCATTGAAGATGGGACGGCGGGCTTTCGGTCTTTCTTGATAAGCGCCCGACGGCTTCCCCAACCGCGTCCCAAAAGAAGCAATTTTTTCTTTGCGTTTTGTATATTATATCTTTTTTTGTTTCTCTGTCGCTTCTTGGTCGTGCGTGTTTTGATGAGCAGCTTCTCTTTGTCACCTTCCGCCCTTCCCGTCTCGCCCGCCACCCCCAGACCCCAGTGCGCATCTCATCCCAGCACAGCGCAAACCAAACCTTTGCCATGGCGGCGGCCGCCCCTTATGAAGGCTCCACAGCCGGCGCTGCGCAGGCGAGTCCTGACATCGGCTACCCAAACGGCCACCTCGGACACCTCAACGAGAGCGAGATCAAGGCACTCGACGAGTTCAAGGCCCTGATCACGGAAAAGAGCGAGTACTCGCCAGGTCCTCCGCCCTCGCACGACGACCAGACGCTGCTGTACGTGCGCCCCCCTGCATGTCGTGCACGGATGAAAGACGCCGGGAGCCGCGGAAGCTAACTCTGGGCCCCCTTCTCCGCCCTTGCCGCAGGAGATTCCTCCGCGCCCGTCGATGGGTGCCTCAGGACGCCTTCAAGCAGTTCAAGGAGACAGAAGACTGGCGGGCGGCGACGCGGCTAGACTTGCTCTACGACACCATCGATCTCGACGCATACGAGCAGAGCAGGGTCCTGGTGTGTTTCGTTGCGCCCTGCGGCCCCTCAACTGCGACTGCGGCTGCTAACCATGGGAAACTCTGCACGAATGACAGTATCCGCAATGGACCGGACGAAGAGACAGGAGGTTTGTACCCTGGCCCCGGCGCAAACAGCAAACACGGACAGGCAGAAGGCAGCGCTGACGACGGCAACCGCAGAGGCATCCCCCTCTACCACTTTGAGATCAAGCACCTGGACAGCAAGACGATCGCCAACTACGAAAAGACGGCCGACGACACGTACAGCAAGGCGCACGCCGACGGGCAGACGCCGCCCAAGCTGCTGCGGCTGTTTGCGTTGTACGAGAACCTGACGCGCTTCGTGCAGCCACTCTGCACCGAGATGCCCGACCGGCCGCACGCGCCGGCGACGCCCATCACCCTGAGCACAAACATCGTCGACGTCTCGGGCGTCAGTCTGCGCCAGTTCTGGAACCTCAAGGCCCACATGCAGGCCGCCAGCACCCTGGCCACAGCGCACTACCCCGAGACGCTCGACCGCATCTTCGTCATCGGCGCCCCCTTCTTCTTCTCGACCGTCTGGGGCTGGATCAAGCGCTGGTTCGACCCCAACACGGTGTCCAAGATTTTCATCCTGACGCCCGCCGAGGTCCTGCCCGTGCTCAGCTCCTTCATCGACCCCAAGGACATACCGAAGCAGTACGGCGGCGAGCTCGAGTTCGGTTGGTGCGACGCCCCGAACCTGGACCCGGCCATCAGGGCCGCCGCGTCGTGGGAGCCGGGCTACGACAACTTCCCCAAGGGCCCCGTCTACTGGAAGGCCCTGGATGAAGATCGCCTCGAGTGCATCGCTGTCGGCTCCGTCCATCAGCAGCAGCGCAGGGCCCGCGTCTGCACCTTCCCGAGGTCCTTCAGGGGCGCCAACTCGACAAACGCCCCCTTCCTCCACGGCGACCACGTCGACGGGCCGCCGACCCCCGTGGGAGCCATGAACCCTGTGGTCGGCGTCGAGCCCGCGCCGCCCGGCGAAGAGGGCCCGGTCCCCACGGCCACGGCGACGGCTAACCCCGTGGTGCAGAACTCGCGGCCCGTCGACCTCGACGCCGCGGTCAAGGATCTCACCATCACCGAGGTCCAGGCCGCCGCCCCGCAGGGCGACGCCGAGAAGAAGGTCGAGGTCAACCGGACCAGCGGGTCCGCCCCCACGCTCGCCGCCTAGTGTGAACGCGGGCACAGGTGCAACGCGCAGTAGAGTTTACATCGCGGGTCGCACGCGGAGGTTTGGGGCCTTGTGTGCACCACCTTTAGATTCCAGGGAGCCGCGTTTGCGGCCGGTAGATTTTGGCGTCACTGGATAACCTGGGAGGTATACAGAAGCCTCCCTGTGATAGATGCAATCATTCTTGTTGATATCCTTTTCTCGCTTTTCCTGCAGCATAGCAACAATAGTCTGCCCAAGACTTGCCTTTTCGTTTCTCCTAGGCACTCATCCTCGTCTCGGAAGATAGCATTCCTAGAATACAGTATACATTCAAACGAGTCTTGACATTCCCTCATTGCTGGGTATCTATAGTGTCTATGCCGCGTTCAGGTAATGGCACGCAAATAACCGCCCCACGCTCGCACCTCGCACAAGGCAGAAAACAAAACATCACGCCCTCGCCGCGGCAGCGGCCCCCGCCAGCCTCCGCGCGCGCCACCTGCGCACGCCCTTGTCCAGCTCGTCCCACGTCATGCCGTCTCGGACGTGGCAGAAGAGCACGCCCAGGGCCTGCTCGACGTCGCGGTTACGCGCCTCGTCGTCGAAGAAGAGCATCTCGCTGTAAGGCAGGCCCGTGCGCCGCTGTATGGCCTCAAAGTGCCGCACCTTGCTGCTCGGGTGCGCCTCGACGCCGCCGCCGTCGAAGAAGTCTAGCGCGCGCTTGCTCTTCTCCCGACTGTTGTGGTGGGTGCTGCTACTCCCGGGGAGGGGCTCGCCGCCGCCGCCGCCCGGGGGTATGTGTAGTAATTTGAGCATCTCGCGGGCGAGATCGGGCGCGTGCGTGCGCGAGGCCACGGCCAGGCGCACGCCGACGGCGGGCAGGGTGTAGAGCATGCGCGGCACGTCCGGGTAGAAGGAAAAGGTGTCGCCGACCTTGTCGGTCGCGGCGTCGCGGGCGGCGCCGCCGGCGGATTTGAGCGGCGGCACCGGGTGCGTGTCGACCCAGAAGGGCCACAGGGTGTAGTCAAGGTCGAAGACGACGAGGCGCGGGAGGGGCTCCTCGTCTGTCAGGCAGCGGGCGATGCCGACTGTATTGGTGGTGGTGGTGGTGGTGGTGGTGGTGGTGTTTGTTGCCTGGGTAGGGTTGGGCAGCGAGGCCTGGGACGAGTTCACGAGGGAGGATTGCGACGACGAGGTCGGGTTGGAGTTGGTGGTGCTGACGCTGGCGTTGGCCAGGTGGGCGTTCGCCTTGGTCAGCTTCTTTGCCATGGTGGGGTGTGTTACTGGCGAGCAGGATGGGGATGGTGTGTCGTCGTAGATTCGGCCCAGCCGCGTCCGACGGGGAAGGCTGAGACGGGTGTCTGAAGGTGGGTTAAACGGTCCACGCGGTGACGTCGCCAATGCGATGCGAGCACGGTCGAGTGTCAGGGCGGCGCCATTTCGGACCCCCGACGCGCCCCGCTGCAGCACATGTGCCCCTCAGCTGGAGCTGGAGCTGGTGGTGGTACAGGGGGCTGTTGTGTGATGTCGAGAATTGGACGGCGATGAATCGAGACGGAACATTGAGAACCTCAATCCATTCAGTTCGAGGTACTGTCTGGCCTTTCTTTGCCTAGGCCAACAGAGTCATGTGGCGACGGACGGGGCGTGTGCGTCTAGAACCATGACCAACACGTAACTAGCACCAGCATAGGGAGCTCTTTTTCCCATGCCACGCTCCAAGGTCACAACGGGCTTGACAACTGCCGTCCCGTCGAACCACCAGCCCGGCATGGCTGAGGGTGGGATCCCCACCCCAATGGACTTCCCCCGCTTGCTCCGCCGTGCGGGAACCGCTACCTTCGCTCCGATGCCCTGCCGTGCTGCTTTATAATCCCTGACAATGCGCTCTTGGGGGCAGTCGAAGCCGAGCTCGGTAAAAAAAAAAGATCGTGGACGCTTTAGCTTGGAGAATTACTCTCAGAGATAGATATATCTTGATCCCCGGAGCAGACCCGGTCGTCAAAAGGGACCTCCTTCGTAATCCGGCCCCGGAATTTGTGTAGAATCCAACATCAACCACAACACTTTGACTCTACCATCCATCCAGACTGTGCCCCTTGGACCCACCAACGTCATCACTACCACCCCTACTTCCTATCCAACATGGCTGCCGCCTCGGTGCACAACGATCTCAAAAAGATCAAGCTCACCCACCTCGCCCACGTCTACTACCGCTTCAAGGACCTGGCCCCGATCCGGGCCTTCTACGAAGACTTTGGCTTCTACGAGGTCAAGCGCGTGGGCGACAAGACGTACTACCGCGGCTACGGCGCCGAGCCCTTTGTCATCTGCGCCGAGCCCGCCGACGCGGACGAGTTCGGCGGCGCCGCCTTCGGCGTCGAGTCCGAGGAGGACCTGGTGCACGCGTCGCTGTCCCTGCCCGCCGAGTGCAGGGCCACAAAGGTCTACGATCTGACCGACGCCCCCGGCGGCGGCAAGGGCGTCACCTTTTACGACCCCGTCGACGGCTTTCCCTTCCACCTGGTGTACGGCCAGGAAAAGGTCCCGCTCATGGACCCCAGCTTCCCCGACCAGAAGATCAACTTTGTAGGTTGCCTTGCCCGAGCCCGCTTAACATCGCCTTCTCGGCTCCTGACCTCTTTTTGTCCCCGCAGCCCCTTGAGAAGACACGCGACGTCAACACGTTCCAGCGCTTCAAGAAGCGGCCAGCACCGGTGCACAAGCTGGGCCACTTTGGCATGTGCGTGACCAACTTTGCCAAGTGCTACGAGTTCTACTCGACCCGCTTCAACCTTTTTGCCAGCGAGGTAAGTCGGATCAAGAGATTGGCCACTAAAGTAAGACGCAAACCACTCACAACCTCCTACGACAGCTTTCCTACAACGACAAGGAAGAAGACATCACCGTCTTCTTCAGGCTCGACAGGGGCACGGAAAAGGTCGACCACCACTGCTTCTTCTTCTTCGAGGGGCCCAAGATGCACGTGCACCACTCGTCCTTTGAGACGCACGACTTTGACACCCAGGTCCTCGGCCACGACTGGCTGCGCGAGAAGGGCTACGAGAACTGCTGGGGCGTCGGCCGCCACATTATGGGCAGCCAGATCTTTGACTACTGGTAGGTTACTGTCCTTTTCTTTTCTGGGTAGTCGTTGGCGATGATACTGACAAGAGGATCACCACAGGTTCGACCCGGCCAAGTTCATTATGGAGCACTACGTCGATGGCGACCTGCTGGACATGTCGGAACCGACGCACCGCGGCCGCGCCGGGCCCGACACGCTGTATGTCTGGGGCCCTGAGGTGCCCGCGACTTTCTTGGCGTAGGGGATGGAGGGTTTTTTTCTCCATGCTGCCTACCTCTGTTCATGTAGCGAATATTATCAAAGTTGGATTTCGCGACACAAGCAACCCGATATTGTTAGGCCGTAAGGAACTGGTGCCTGCCTACCTACCTGTTTGTATCTGCCGGTCGTGCCTTCCTCGAGCTTGCTTGATGGATGGCAAACGGTTCCATCACTTTCTCATCAGAGCCGACTGACATACAGTTCAGCTGCCTCGCGCAACCTTCTTCTCAATCACCTACAGAGCCCTTGCTCACCCCAAAAAGAATTCTGCCATCACCAACAATTCACAAACCAACCTAACACCCACCACCACTACCCAATTCCCAATCCTCCACCATCCACCCACCTCTCAACTTAACCTAGCATACACCATCACCAAGCCGCTCAGAGTAGCATGAATACCTGAGCAGCACCCTTCAAACATGACCGGCACACTCGCAAAGGGTGATCGAGGCAACTCGGCCACCCTGACCAAGATCGATCGGCTACGCGAGCTCATCGGGAACAAGATCTCACTCCCCCAGCTCGTCGTCGTCGGCGACCAGAGCTCCGGCAAGAGCTCTGTTCTTGAGGGCATCACCGGCTTCGCCTTCCCGAGGGACGCCGAGCTCTGCACTCGCTACGCCACCCAGATCACCTGCCGCCGTGAGGACTACGAGTCGGTGACCATCACCATCATCCCACATGAGGATGCGGACCCCGACTTGGCCAACAAGCTCAAGAGCTTCTCGCGGAGCTTGCCCGAGGCCGCGCAGATGGACAACACAATGCTGGGTAACATCTTTAAGGATGTTAACCAGGAGCTCGGAATCGCGCCCAGCTCCGGCCCCGGCCTTAGCAATGGCGCATACACCAAGTCTTCGCCCCGCAACGCTTTCAGCGGGCATCTCCTCAAGATCGAAATCTGCGGCCCGCAGGTTCGTCTTTGAACCTATTTCCGTTCCTCTTTTCGTTTCCCCGTTTTTCTTGTTATTCATTTCCTTCCTCTTCCCCTACGAAGCAACCCTCCGCTACCTCTCGTAAACACTGAGCACATGCCGCCTTCTTGCAACTAGCCTACACCACGCCAATGGCTTTCTTCTTCTCTTAATAGTAATATCCGCTCGTGCAAGGCGATACTGACACAAAGCAGCAAGAACACTTTACTGTCATTGATGTTCCCGGCATCTTCCGCAAGGAGACTCAGGGTAGGCTTCTCATCTTGCTTCTCTTGCCAACTAGCCTGCGTGAAAGATATCATGCCAACCGCCAAATCTGGGAACAGGTCTTACTACTGAGGCCGATATCAAGCTCGTCCAGAACCTTGTGATGAAGTATATGCGAGACTCCCGAACCATCATTCTCGCCGTTGTCCCGGCCAACGTTGATCCAGCGACCCAGGAGATCCTCAAACTTGCCAAGCAAGTCGATCCAGACATGAAGAGAACCATGGGCGTTCTCACCAAGCCGGATCTAGCCATCGAGAAGGCCGTGCGGCAGATCGCTATCGACCACGTCACCGGAAAGCGGAGTGATTTGACGTTGGGTTACTACATCGTCAAGAATCGCAGCTCCGATGAGATAGACATGACTCTCAAGGCCGGCCAGGATGCCGAGATCCACTTCTTCGCCAAGAAGCCGTGGTCGGCACTGCGCAAGGTCGACAGGGCTGGAATCAAGGCTTTGAAGACGCAGGTCCGCAACCTTCTGACCGACCTGGTCAAGCATGAGTTCAGGCAGCTTCGGGTTGAGGTTGAAGGCCATCTGACTGAGCTCAGAGATGAGGAGCTTGCTCTTGGGCCGCATCGGTCCGACAGGAACGCCCAGAGAGCGTACCTCGGAAACATCTGTGATCAATTCCAGGTCATTACCCGCGATGCCCTCAGTGCCAACTACGCGAGCCAGTCCAATTTTTTTTTCAAGGAGCAGCACAGACTCATCACCCGCATCGTCGAGCTGAACGAGCAGTTTTCAGCTGCTATCCAGAACAAGGGTCACACGCGGGCCTTCTCGCAGGACGAGGGTGACACCGAACCAGCCGTTCAGAGCTCCCTGCAACCCAATGTGGGTTCACCTGTCAGCAAGCTATTCCCTGTTATCCGCAAGATCAGAACACAGCGTGGAGACCCACACGGAGACGCCCAGATAAAGAAGCTCCACGATATACAGTACCCGACAGATAACAGTGACGACATCATGGATTACATCAAGGGCGTATACACCAACAGCCGGGGTGCTGACTTGGGCACGGTGAGCAAGTTTCTTCATCTGTCGCCCGTACTATTCCTCACACTCTTTCCCTCACTTTATCCCCTCAGTGTACCCTTTCCCACTATTTCCCCACCAGTTCTATTTCCCATATCTCTCATCGGAGACCTCCCCAGCCAAAGCCGCCATCCTTCCGTCCTCTCGCCGAAATTCTACTCACGGGATTCTTCAACTTTTCTGACATGGTTATGCTTCAGTTCAACGGTTCCGTTCTCGCCGCTGTCTTCCTGGACCAAACCAAAAACTGGGACCCCATCACCAAGGCCTACGTTCTGATTGCAGAGTCCTTCGTCACCTTCTTCATCAAGGAGGCCATCTTGTCAATCTGCAACGACAAGCGCGTCGGGGAGGAACTTTACGACAACCTCCTGCGCGACCAGCTGTGCCAGTGCTTTGCTCGAGCCCGCGCGCACGCCAAGTCCCTCCTCGACATTGAGAGGAAGAGTCCCACTTTCACTCTGAATCATTACTTCAACGACAATCTGTCCAAAACTCAGGGCGCCCGCCTAACCGCGATCATCAAGAAAGCCGCGAGCAGGGATTACGATGTCGGGCTCTTCGACGGCAAGCAGCCTATCTATACGCTCACAGAAGGCCAGCTCGAGACCATCGCGATCCAAAACAACCAGAGCAATTCGGAGCACATGCAGAAGTACATCCACGACGTGCTCAAAAGCTACTACAAGGTGTCGATGAAGCGCTTCGTGGACAACATATGCCTCCACGTCATCCACCACGACATGCTCTTCTCCCCCAACGGCCCGCTGCACATCTTCACCTCGAAGCTCATCCACACGCTCGACGACGACCAGCTGGACCAGTTCGCGGGCGAGGATCATGTCGTCAAGGCCAGGCGGGAGAAGCTCGCGCGGGAGATCACGAGCTTCAGGGCGGCGCTCGAGGTCCTCCAGGGCTCGTCTCGGGATTCGCACTAAGGCGGCGTTTGCGACTCGTGTTTTTGTCGATTTGCCGCCAGCGGGTCGCGCCTTTCACTGCTGGTGGTTGATTTCATCGAATTGGATGCCAAAGGGAGAGTAGGATGGGATATGACATATGGTATATGGCATATTAGCGATGGCGGGTCATTTCGGCGGCGTTTTGGCTGACGGATTTCTCCACTGTGCCTGGCATATTCATATCCCAACATTCAAATCCCAGCACCCATATTCTAGCATTTCATTCTCACTGTTTACGCCTACCCAGAGGTCCTGGCAAGGCGCTTATTCAGACTTTCTGCCTCGGATAATAAGCATTCTTCCAGCTGGTACATTAGGTATCTTCCCGCCCCCAGGTCTTCCCGCCCACAAGTGCTCGTAGATCTACACTGGTGAGCTGGCGGCGGCCGAGCCAGCCAGCACCTCGCCCCCGACAATGAACCCAGCCGCCCACAGCGCCGGGAGCGCATGCTCATTCGTCCACTCGGTGCACTTCCACGGCACGTGGCGCGCCTCCCCGGGCTCGTAAAACACCACCCCCGGCACCCACGCCTTGACCAGCTCCGCCCGGCCCGTCGCCGCGTTGAACGCCTTCTGCCTCGGCGGCGTCGGCAGGCCCCGCAGCAGCGCGTCCCAGCGGGCCCGCTCGAACCCGCCGCCGCCGCCGTGTTGTGCCCGAGCAGCTCCTTGCCGCGCAGGGCCTCGCCGTACTCGACCTCGGGCGCCGCCGCCGCCCTGGACTCGTACGTCATGCCGCCGCTGCTCGTGATGTCGCCGACGACGTGGAACTTGACGCCCGAGCGGTCTTGCACGTTGGTCTCGACGAAGATGACGTGGTGGTACCGTGGCCCCGGCATGTCGGGGTCTGGCAGGCCGACCCTGGATTTTACCAGGTACACGGCGTGCTGCTGCTGCTGCTGCTGCTGCTGGGGAGGCGCTGGGGGCTCCATTGCGGGGGCGCCTGGCTGAGACAGCTCTGGATTTGGACCAACAGAGTGAGGGTGATAGCTCGACGAAAGTGATGGCGGCAAACTGGCTAAATTTGTCCGCTGGTCTTGCTCCCTTTGTTTTGGGCCAGCCGTCCACCACGCTTCCTGATTGGGTAATTCCATCGGCGGAACCAACAGATGTTGTCCCCTCTATGATGTGCATACACACCAACAATCTGTCAGCAAGAATCTACTTCGCCAATGTGCGACAACAGATTAACCTAACCACCATGCGCTCGCAAAAAAGATAGTAAAAACAAGGGATTCATCCTGTCTACAACTTTTCCCGATAGACATAAAATCATAGGCCGCCTTTTTTCAGCCACCCACAATCCACACAACCGAGACGTGAACAGCCTCCCTCCACCCATGCACAGAGAAACCAAACTTGCTATAAGATGATCAAAAACTTCATGAACAGCAGCCCGAGGCGCAGGTCGGTACAGAAGCGTCCGGGACAAGTTCCTAGGCTTCCTCCTCTGCCTCTTCTTCGTCCTCTTCGTCCTCCTCGACCTTCGCAGCGTCATCAACTGAGCCGCCCTCAGCCTCAAGCTTGAGCCACTCGTCCCATTCGGGGAAGAGCTCCTCATCTTCGCCGGGAGTGCCCAGAATGCGTGCCACACGCCCCTTTTTGCTCTTCTCCAGCGACTCCTTCCACTGTGATACTACGCCAGTCGTCAAACTGGGCTTGTATGTCTGGGAGAAAAGGGCAGCCTCTGCGAGCCTGCCCGTCGCTGTCAGGATCTCCACGCAGCCCGCGACGTCACCGAGCAGCCACTTGGCGGAGAAGGCGACGTTGTGTGCACCAGCCTCGGAGGCCTGCGCCGCCAGCTTCTCAAGCCCCTCACGATCCGACGTCGAGCTGTAGAGCAACAGGAGAGAGCCAAGATCCTTGGCGTGTGAGAAACACTCTGCCGCTAGTGCAACGTCCCATGCTGTAAGTGCCGCGTCGCCCACCGTTTTCCATTTGTGATCCACGTCCGCTGCCCTCGCAAGCTCCAATGCGATGTCGAGGTGGTTCAGCGATAGCGCGAGATCGAACTTGTGCTCCGGGTCCGTGGCAACCTCCAGTGCCAGAGACTTGTGGCCTTGACCCTCGAGGAACCGAGCGATCTTGTTGAGCTGGTCCTGGGGAATCGTCGGCAGGAGCTCGGCTGCCGTCTCCATGTCCTCGCGCAGAACCAGGGTCTGGTACTCGAGAACAGGGAGCGACAGGGCGAAAGAGGTGACGTTGACATCTTTATCGGCAAGGTAGATGCGGGAGTCCCTCTGGATGTAACCGATGACGTACATGGGCTGGTCGAAATGCGAAACGGTGTAGGTCTGGTCGCCCACCAGGTAGTTGAGCCTGTTGGTGCTGTTTGTGTAGATAAAGCAGTCGCCCACCCACTCGCCGGTCCGTACGCTGCAGCCGGGACTAGGTGTCAGTGAAATTCACCCTGTAATGCAGTGGGAAAACTTACCTCTCGCTAATATCGGTGATAACCTCAAAGGCAGATTCAACACCGTCCTCCTCGGCCAGGCCCGCTTGCATGCCCTCGATGTAGTTCTCGCGCGAGAATCTCAGGACGTAGAAGGTATCGTCGCAGGCCAGAGTAACCAGTTCGCCACTCTCGGACCAGTACACCTACACGACCGTCAGTAGCTGATGCCGACCGTGGGGGCCATGGGGGCCATGGGGGCCATGGTGTGTCATACCTCCCTAGGCTCGACCTCAATTCTCCTGACGAGGCCGCCAGTAGCCCAATCGAAGAAAGAAATACCGCCCTGTCCTTTAACACCCAGCAGGACACCGCCGGAAAGGCCATCGGCCTGAAATCCAACGTCGAGGCCTCCGGCCTTCTCGACAAAGTTCTTGTAGACCTTGACGCTTGTAGCGGATTCCCTGATGGCAAAGTCGGTGCTATTGTCCTTGGCAGCCCACACAAAGTCCAGAGCCGAGCCGAAAGCCTTATTCCTCCAAGCGAGCGCAGTGTAGATGATGTACTCGCCATCGCCGCACACTGCGACGAACCTGCCGTTCGGCGAGTGGATAAGAGTCTGGGGGTAGACCTCGCAGGTGCCCAGGTCCTTGGTCGGGAGAGATATCGGCGATCCGTCCTTGATAGACGCATCCCCGCCTTTGATGATGGAGGAAACCACCTCGTTGTGTCTCGCCCAGATCAGTTTGCCCGAGTTGTCCATCGAGACAGCCGGCTCCTCTCTACCCAGCTTAACGACAACCGCGCCATCGTCGAAACCCACGGCGACGCCCTGCTTTCCCTTCTGGTACGACACGCACCAGGCGCGCTCGAGGCCGTAGTTGAGTGACTGCTCGAAGCGGTATGTGTTGGCGTGCCATATCCTGATTGTGCCGTCTTCGGAACCAGAGATGATGACGGGGAGCTCGGGGTGGTAGCAAGCAAACGACACGTTGTTGGTGTGGCCCTCAAGGGTTGCGATCAGTGACTTGGTAGTGTAGTCCCAAATCTTGACCGTCCTGTCGTCCGAGGTGGTGAGGAGGTACGGCTTGTCCGAGTGCGGGTAGTAGTCGACGTGGTTGACACCCTTGGTCTCGTGGGCCTCGAGCGTGAAGTTGGCCGTAGAGGAGCCGAGGTTCCAGATCTTGACGGTGCGGTCGAGACAGGCCGAGGCGAAGGTGTTTGTGTCCTTGGGGTTGATGGCCAGGCCCATGACGTAGTGGCTGTGGCCCTCGAAAACCTGGACGCACTTCCACGCCTTGTCCCAGTCCCACAGCTTGATCGTCATGTCGTCCGAGGCCGTGAGCACGAATGGTTGTGTCGGGTGGACGGCGATGGCGCGGATGTAGTCGGGGTGAGCCTCGAAGGATGTGATCTTCTCCGAGGTGTTGTAGTTGTACACGCGCAGCTGGAAGTCATCGGAGCCGCAGACGATCCAGTTCTTCCTCGCGACGAAGCGGCCGGCGCGGACCGGCACGTCTGTGAGCTCGAAAGTCTTGACGATCTGCTGCGTCTCGTACGACCAGATGTAGACATGGCCTGTGCCGTGGGGGGTCGTTCCGCAGTCAGCATCGCATCAGGCCGGCACGTCTGGTCGTTTGCGTGTCTTTTTGGTCTGCGTTCTAGGGGCGCGCGGGCTTACCGCTGTAGAGAGTCGTGAGGATCCATGGCTCCTGCGGGTGGAAGTCAATGCCCTTGACCCTCTCGCTCCGCGCGAAGAGCTGGCGCTGTATGTTGAGAGCCATGTTAGCAGGATGCTAGCACGAGGCCTCGCCGTCCACAATTGGAGGCTGTGGATGAACGGCGGTCAAGGGACTCCCGTGCGGTGCTGGCTGAGGCTTCTTGTGCGCCATCGGCCGAACGATGGGCGCAGAGGCCACATATCTCGCAGCAGTCGTACAAGCCAGAGACATCCAAGGGCCGGGAAGTAAAGGTCAATGTGCGCCCACCTTAACGTCTAACCGCATCTTGAATATCGGGTTGGTTATCGCCGCCCGGTCCGATCACGATGCAATGCGTCTGGAGCTGCAGCCAAGGTGGGGGTGAATTCAAGCAGCGGCTCGGGGGAGCATCTGTCGACTAGGAACGAGGACCGCTGGGCCTGCCGGTGGCGATTAGAATTAGACAGAGAATGAGAGCTTCGGCAGACTGCACTGCGCCAATCGTCGGGGCGGCCGTTAGTGGTGGAGGTGGTTCAGTGAGTTGGAGCTACCGCGTTATGCACCTATTCCCAGTCCCCAATTTGAGCTTCACAAATGTGGTCTTTCCGCCAGGAGTCGGCTGCCTGAGGCCACACATGCGCAATTGAGCACCCCCTGCATAGCGGGGCAACTTGCTTGCGCCACAGCTGCAGTGAGCCACATCGATAATACCAGCATGCGATGGGTGTGGCATTGAGCTGTGGCTCAACCTTTTGGGATTACACGACGGCGAGAATGTTACTTTTCGAAGCCTTACACTGAACCTTCTAATTGTTGGCCCAGACTCTATTTTTATTGACATTCGAAAGGGCTCGGATTTTCCCGGCTGTGCCTTTTCATGCAATTGCTTTTCCATCATATGCTTGGCTGCTGTCACATGTCTCATTCATCACATCGACAATTCGAGGCCCACCAAAACTGCGCGAAGGAGCCATCTAGAATTGAAGGATAGGGAGCTTACCAAAATACCTAGTCAGGAGAGAAGGAAAGCACCTACAGGGTCGAGACATATCTCCTAATACCGCACTAGACAAGCCCGGACGTTTCGAGACGGCTCAAGATCCTTAGCGGTACGTAACGGAAGGACGGCTATGTTTCTGACAGCAAAGGTTTAGGAAAGAAGATTGAGGAGCTCGGCCTAAATGAGATCTTGATGATGTGCTCCTGGGCGAACCACTCACCGCCATCGTAGAGCCTCGGGGCTGAGCTGGGCCATCACTATTATGTTTGACCCAAGCGTCTACAGTTCACGGTACCGTGACAAGGAGGTTCTGGCAACGGGGTATTCTGCTGTATTGTCTTTGCTGGTCTCTACCGTGTTTCATGCAATCGTCCATCCCCTGTTCCAGGAATCAACAAAATCTGGAACGTGCTTCTCATATCCCCAAACTGACGCCTTCTAAATCATAAAATCCAAAAACAAAGTCTGATCCCGCAGGGAACCAAGAGGTAGAGAATCCAAACCAAAAGTTGGTTGGTTGCTCAGGGAGAAGCAAAGTTAAAACAAAAATCTAGAAAATGAGCAAGAGTTCCCAAATCAGGGAAGTAACAAAACGCCGGGAATGCCGTCACAACGCCGATATGACGATGCAAAAAGGGTGTGTGACGATGGGGTAACGATCGTCGTGGATGCAGATGAGCTCGATGATAGCGTTTGCGTGAGGAAAAGGTGAATGGGAAATGGGTAAAAAAAGAAAGAAAGCCTAGGCGATCTACTCGGAGTCGTCGAGCGAGTCGGCCTGGACCCTCTGGACGATGTCGACCATCTTGGGGTACAGCTTCTCCGAGGGCTGGAGGCCGCAGACCTGGGCGACGACCTGCTCCGGGCCGTTGTCGGCCATGATGCGGGCCAGCTCCTGGCTCTCGGCGTCGTCGTCGACGCCCTGGAAGCGGAAGGCCATCTCGGCGGCGTCGAGCAGGGCGGAGCAGTCCTCGCCCTTCTCGGCCAGCTCGGCGGCGGGGCCGACGAAGCGCTCCTTGCGGCTCAGCTTGCGGAGCGGGGCGCGGCCGACGCGCTCGACGGCGTCCTCGAGGTGGGGGTTGCCGATGCGGGTCAGGATCTTCTTGACGTAGGCGCGCTGGGCCGCCTCGTCGATGCCGTGCTTGGCCGTGATGAGGCGCGACGTGTTCTCGAGCGCGCGACGCACCTCGGCGTGGATCTCGCGGTCCTGCAGCGCGTCGTACACGGTCCGCTTCTGCCGGTTGTAGCCGTGGTAGGCGGCCGTGGCGTGGCCCGTGTTGACCGTGTAGAGCTTGCGCTCGATGTAGGGCTCCAGGTGGTCGACCCAGTTGATGCCCTCGATGGCCGGCGGGCTGTGGTCGGCGAAGGGGGTGCGGTCGACGACCCACTCGTAGAACTTCTCCAGCTTGACGTCCAGGCCGGCGTCGGCCTCCTGGGCGGGCACGATCCTGTCGATGGCCGAGTTGGCGAACCGGGCGCGATCCGACATGTCCTCGTGCCTATGCTCCGGGGTGTTCTCCTTGATGAAGCCGGCAAGGGTGTCGGTGGCGCCGATGGCGTTCTCGCAGGCAATGACGGCGGCGGGGGCCAGGTCGGTTGGCCTCCTCTCCAGGCCCTTGGCGATGACGGGGGCGACGAACTTGAGGATGTTGGGGCCGACGGAGCAGGTGATGACGTCGGCGGTGGACAGCTCCTGGATCAGCTCCTCCTCGTGCGTCCGCGAGTTGATGGCCCGGTAGTTGGTGATGGTGTTCTCCTCAGTGCCCTCGGCGCCGACCTCGATGACCTTGTACGAGGGTTGGCTGTTGAGGGAGTCGACAACCTTGTCTGTGACATCGGCGAAGACGACCTCGTAGCCCGAGTTGTGCAGGAAGCAGGCAACGAAGCCACGACCAATGTTGCCGGCACCGAAGTGAACGGCTTTCTTGGCGTAGGTAGCGTTTGATGGAGACATGGTGTCAGGTGTGCTAGCAGAGATGTAGCTAGTGCAGAGTTCCGCTCAGGGGCTCCAGGGTGTAAGTCGAGTTGAAGGTGGTGTCCGTCAGAACTGAGGACAGGGCTGAAACTGAACAGGAAGAAGGAGATGTGTGTATATATGGTATCAGAGGCTGGCCAAGGCGTTCTGGATGGTGCTCGAAGGCAGGTGGACAGAAGTTGTGGGGGAGATATCGGAGATGGATCACAAGAAGAGGATCAAGTGGGAGAATCAAGTGGCAATAGCCCCGAGCTTGGTATAGAAAACTGGGGATGAGGGAGAAGGAAAACTGGATCAGTGAGGGAAGCCATCGTACATACTTATATCCTCGCACGCCTCCCGAGGGATGGTCTCTCGGTCCCCTAGGTTTGGGTGAAGAGTGGGCCGGCTCGCCCGCATGGCGGAAGGCATTGGGTCAACAGACGGATGATGTCGACGGGGGGCGTCTCCGAAAAGGCCGGACGTCAGAGCATAGTGCGAGACTTGTACACACCAGGGTGGCTCCCTCCACACACCCCCCCTTAAAAAAAAACAAAAAAAAAAGGCCGCAGCCGCCCGTGCAAGGCTGCCCAGGCGCGCAAACGCACCAAGCCAAGTTTACTTACTACGGCCACAGTGGGTCTCCCTTTTTGGTTCCGTCTCAAACAGACGGTGGGCCGCCCGTGGCTTGGCTCCGTTTAATCCAACTTTGCCTGGCGATCGCCGCAAGAAACAACGGTCAGTTGGTCCATGGATCCGAAGGAACCAAGGGCTTTGCATCTGCATGGCCTATTATGCGAAGACACTGGTGCGAATCCATCAAGTCCATATTTTGGAAGGAAGTGAGAAATTCAGTCGATGGCACACGAAGCCGATACCAGCTCGATGGAAGCACGGCACGCTCCACCAAGCCAGCACCGGGAACAGTGTTGCAACGAGCATCTGGCTGTGGCACCGCGACGCCCAAGACGGAAATTGCAAAGGTCGTAGCCGTCAAATCCTCGTCACCCATTCGGCGGCTATCGGGGTGCACTCTCTGCGGTGCGTTGGTGCTCAAAACGAGACAGTGGGTGGGACGGCTGGGTTTCCGAATGGCGTCACTGATTCTTGGAGTCAAGAATCCTTGCCTGCGATCTCTTTTTTTGGTCGTCTTTCCACGATCCGTCCCCCGAATGTCAGTCTCATCTTTGGAGCCATGGCTACCCAGCCCACCCAACATAGCACATAGCGGCCCTGCGCTGACAATAACCGGGTCAGAACGGGGGCGATAACGACGGCGGCGTCGCGCGTAATTCTGGGGGTTGCCCGTCGGGGATAAAACGGCACACAAAGGGCACCAACGACGGAGGGCCCACGCACGTCCAAGGGGCGGGTCGAGAAGGTCCACACCGACAGGACAAGGGAGGCCGCAGCGCCGTGAAGGTAGGTGAAGTGATGCAGCGCCTGCATCAGTGTTTGTTGGGCCTGCTGGAAACCTACAGTACACAACGACGCGGCGGGCGCAGCGCCTCGGAACAGTAAAGATTGACCTGAGATCAACCCTGGGTGGGAGGAAAACGTAACATTGCAGAAATATCTCCACTGTGACTTCTTTCCCTTCGTCTTCGTTCTGCCTGAGTCGGGCTGCCTCGTAGTCTCGCGCCCCCGGGTTGTTTGTCTTTTCGGGCAGCGAGACTGTTTCCGCTCGTCGGTGGGTTATTCCCGTGTCCTTCCGGTTGCCATCACATTGCATCAGCGTGCTTCCAGGCCTCCAGGACACAGACCGAGCCATTCAAAGTCTCGTGGTCAGCGGCACTTGTCCTAGGCCTTCCCCCGCGTTCTAGCTTAGCCGCGACGTCACTCTCGACTGCTTGACATCATGGTCGCCCTGCAGACGGGTTTGTAATCTCACATGGTGGCAGGATGCCTGAGGATGTGCCGTTCCGTGGAGGTGCTACTATTGTTGACTCGAGTTGGGACGAGCCCGCCCGCGGCGGGACTCTGGGTAGCAGCATCGCAGATGAGAAGGCGATGCATCGATGTCGTCTCTTTTTTTGCAGGCGGCTCTCCGGCTAAGCCAGATTGTCAAACCGACGGCTATTACGGTCGCACAGTGCTGTTAGCGCATACCTGCGACCACTGGGGAACCGACCGTGGTTGTTCGAGTCAGCCACTAACAAGGCGTCGCCGCCTCCCCTGCTATCCCGCGCTCCCTCCCAGGAGGCCACTCCCGCAACGCCCCATGTTCACGATGGTCACTCGCGAAGCCAGCCTCCAGTCCTCAGCCAGTCAGTAACCGCAAGCCACGAACCAGTAGCCTCCACACATCCACGGCACTCACTTTCGGTTACCTGTCCCGCCGCCCATCCATCCAATGTTGCCCCCACGCGGCTGGCGCAAGGCTAGAATCCCAACAAGATGGAATAGTTCGCCTATTGATTAGATGGCCATGTCCGGTTCGATACCGGCGACGGCGACCAGCACCAGGCGGGCTTCACAGCTTGTATCGCAAGATCCATTCATCAAGCAATGTGACGTTTCCCCAGCCGCGGTATCGCCATGTCGTCATAGTACCTGGCTCGGCGCCGACGTTTCGCCATCCCCACTTTCCAAGATGTGCAATGAGTAAGAAACGGAGCCTTCTCTGCGGCGACAGGCCCCCACCTGTCCTTCGGAGATGCCAATAACGAAGAAGCCACCAACTCGTCATCCACTCATCAACTCCAATCACCGTCTTGGGGGTCCACAGTTGCCCACTTGTGTGGCCAAGAATGGCCAAAGGCAAAGGACAGTATGGATGTGTGTCGAGGGCAACCACGGAAACCTGCGACTAGCATGAAGTTGGCAACTGTGGTTGGCCTGACGTACAAAGCGCCAAAGCGCGTCCAAGTCTCGTCAGGCAGGCCTTCTTTTCTAGTGCCAAGGCAGAAGCCGCGCTCTGCGCTGCCCCCTAACGCAGGCTTCATAGGACGGCAAGATTGCCCGTTTTTTCCGGCCATGCTTGGGGCACCGTGGCTCGCCCGCTGCACAGGACGGATAGCTACAATTCGCGCCGACGGTGGCTTGCGTCGATGGCATGGATACGGGCCAACGAGAGCACGCACCAGTCCCTGCGCCTGTCCATCAGACAGACCCTGGAGGCAGAGGGCAGAGGGAGGCGGGACGGGAGATAAGAGACAGCCATCGCATTGGAGGCAGGCACAGGCACCATCTTGGCACCCCTAGCTGAGCTCACCTCAGGCCGCACCCGCGCGGCGGGCGAAGATGGAAAAGGTCGACAGCGATACGCGGCCCCGGCGGTCCGTTTGCCAATCGGGCCCTGACAGGTTCCATCCAGCGGGCATGGCGGCACTGGGTACTGGGCGGGTGCAGAAGGAATAATACACCGATTTCCGACGAAGCAAAGGCACGGTGGCACGACAGCCTGGCGGCAGGCAGCAAACACATGTGCAAGGCAGGCCACCCAAAGAGTTCTTCTTGGCAGTCGTCAGTCCCCGGTTTTGTGCTGATCATTGGGACTTCACTGGCCAAAAGCCCGACACACAAGGGCCCGTTGGCGGCTGCGATTCGTCAAGCTGCAGGGTCTCTAGAATAGCGGCTCCAGAGGACCCAAAAAAGGGGTCTTTGGGGCTGCCGATCGGATCCGTTATGACGACAGGGGCTCCACCCGCTCGGGTTGCGGCGGAAGGCGTTGCTGCAGTGGCCACACCACCGCGGCCACCCACACTACCTGCAGCCACACGCATCGGTGCCACGACAAATTGTCGGGCGCCACCAACTCAATTAGCCCAACCAAGCAGACCAGCCGTTTCCGCCCATCCATCTCCCTCCCCTCCCACTTCGGTAACCGACCGACCGAACGCACGCGGGACGAACACGTTGTCGTTTAATCCCGCGACGGCGCAGACTGGCCTCCCTCCCTCCATATGCCGCACGCGGGCTCCTCGTCCAGCGGCGATCACGGGCGGTGGGGGTCCTGCTGGCACATCCTGCTAGCATGCAACCGCTGCCCCGCGTGCCACTTTCACTTGCACGCCGGCGAAGCAGAGCGAGGCATTGGGACATGGATATCACCATGGCCCCCGCAGCGGCCGGCCGTTTCACCGCAGTACGGCCGCTAGTGACCCTTGGTCCAACAGCAGCCCATCCATCGTCACGGCACCACGGCACCTCCGTCTTGAATTTGCTCCTTGGGCCACACAGGACACACAGGCTATCATCTCTGGAGCCCATGGACGATGGATCCCGCTTCCGAATCGAAGCAAATTTAGTCGGCACGCAACAGGTTTATCTTGCAGGCCGTCTCAGGGGCCAATGCATCCACCGCACTGACTAGAGCATCCTTGCTTATCTACACAGTACACTGGAGTGGCTGACGCCGGATATTGCAGCCGCCAGTCAGACCCTAGTCACCAACGTGGTATCCGTCGCAGGACGGTACCTAGCAAGGCACCGCCTCCGTCTTCCTCGCTGCTGCTCACTGCCACCGCAGTGCCTTTTTCGGGAGCAATGCGGGAGGGGCTGGCGTATGGATGCGGGGGACCAGGAGGCCGGGGAAACACTCAGCCTCACAACTGTCGTTGTGGCCTGAAATGCTGGGCCAGCGCTCCAACGTCTCTAATCCGGCAACCCTGGGGAACCATATCTGGCCGCCACATCTACATCTTTGGCTCATCATGGTGGAACCGGACGAGCATGTTTGACACTTTGGAGACACAGACGAGCCCCGCTGGCTTATTGTGCTAGCTCACGATGGACTTCACCATATGGTGAAACCTCGACTCACCCCCTGCAACCTGCTGCTGCATGATTGTGTGTCTATCGAGCCTCGCAGCCACTGGTTCCACTCTACTTCACGCTGTCAACTTACAGACCAGTCCTTACATCACCGTTGGATTCCTTGGCTCACTCTTACGCCCTCCCAGACTTCACATACCGCCTCGCGGCGGACGTCGGACTTTTGCGCCTTGCAGAAGAGAGATGCACGCCTGATTGGTCACCGTCGCCCATCCACTCACACTCAGACGATCCGCCCGCTCCAAGCCAATGCCACGCTTTATTCGAGCATGGGGCCTGTGTTCCGCCGTCTTGGGAGGTCTCCTCTCCACCACCTCAGCCCTCGGCAAGCCTGCGTGGCTCCTGCAAGACGGTACGCAGCGCTGACAACCTTTGTTTGGCCGGTCACACCGTTCATGTCAGCCGCCTGCCTCTCACGATGGTTTTCAGCGGCTCGGAATCCATTGGCACGGGCATCGCTTTCCCGCTTTAGGCATGCCTGTCGTTGCAGGGTGCGTCGCTTGTCTTGTTTCTTGTTTTCTTTCCACATGCACATACCCCATATCTCGACTTGGATCACCCTCTTCCCCTTCGGCCGCCGTGTCGGTTTTTTTTTCCCGCACGCGTGCTTATGACCTTTCGTGGCAGATCGGCGGGCCAGTGTAGGATCGCAGATGTTCCACACTGGGCCTCCGAGAACAAACACGGTACCGAGAGGGTTATGGAGGGCAACACCGTATGTCCACTTACATGTATCAGAGAGATCTTAAATCCTGGCTTTAAGGCTTGCCGAGTGGCCAAGCTTTTACCTCGCGGAGGGGGGGTTTCCGTCATCTTGCATTGTGTCCTTGGGGTTTCGTTTTTCTTGACGGGGACGCGCGCAGTTCTTGTCGCCCTCGTTTCCCACACCTGAGCACACGTTTGCCAGGACGAATCTCACCGTTTCTCCTTCTACGGATACGTCTTCTGCCATGGCACCGGTGGCGCTGCCGCTGCTCGGCTTATACGTGCGATGGCGCGGTTGGGCGGGGATGGCGCGCCGCTTACATGGAACAGGCCTTGCAGCCGCACATCCCAGTCGCTGACTACACCTAATAAGGTACACCAAAGCCACTGTCCACCAATCCCCAGTTCACCGCAAAACCCCGATCGACATGAGCGCTCAGGAGCGCCCCTTCCCTTGCGTCGTGGTCGGATGCTTTCTGGCTGCCTGGCAAGCGGTCAGGGTCAGCCCGAGCCAAACAACAGCAATTATAGGCGAGCCAAGCACACCCTCGCCAACGGGTATACTCCGTAAGGGTGGTAGCGGAGATGCATGTGTTTCCCACCCCCTTGTGGCTGTTCCCGCCGGCCATCCGAGCCGAGGGGCGCATGTCCATGTTTGCGATCGCTGGCTGTCGGGGCCTTGTGCCCCTTTTGAAGCTAACGAAGCGTTGCTTTCCGCGTTTGCTTCGTCCACAGTAGGGGCGCCTGATTCCCATGGGAGCCATCTCGGTTTTGTCACAGGTTCGGCCGTCTGTTGGATGAGTCTTTTTTTTCTCTCCCTTATTCGGGTCCTCTCCCGCGCCCATGCCTTGCAGAGATTGCGATTGGGATGATCATGGTGGCTCGCTCGGCTGAACGGGGAGCGTCCCGAAACTAGACAAGGATCAGTAACGAAAAGCAGACGATATTCACCGTCCATTGAATGCTGCGTTGCTTATTCTCATTTCTACACCACTACACGCTCACACATTCTACAAGTCCTAGATGGACGTGCTACCTCCCTTCGATCTCGATGACCGGTTTCCTGTTTGGACAGGTGGGCTCCATCCCGTCGTCCTAGCCTACTGCCGGGGCCCCTAATCGATACCCCGCCTACCCCCGATATCCCTTCATGCTATCCAAAGGAGGAGAAGTGCGGTAGGGCGTGGGCCTTGGCGTTCGCGGGGCTGGTCCCCACACAAACCCTCGTGGCAGTTCGTCACGAAGGGGAAATATCTTGACGTTTCCAAGGCGGGAAAAGTTGGCAGTCGATCTCATTTCGCGAAAACATGTGCTTTGATGAGAGGTCGCGGCCACC